TCTTGGGTTACTCTTTTACCAATGAATAGTGGGATTGGCCGTCACATTATAAAGACCCCAAGGTTGGAAGGGCGAGCATGTTTGGTAGGACGGGGATTCGAGCCCGCGACCCTCAGATTGTGAGTCGAGCGCCCTAACCACTTGGCGATGCCGGGCCATTTAAGTCTTGGGTATTACAGTTTAATATCGCTAGAAGAAAACAATTCCAATCTGATATGGAAAATGTTATAAAATTTTCTCTTATTTTTACGCTATAGCAATCGGATTTACTTATGCATCATGTATATTTACATCTGTATGTTTTTTGTTGTTTTTTTTGTACTGTGCTACTCTGCTACTTTCAAGTATCTGCACATTTTGGTCCAGATGAGTGTCTAGAACCAAAAGGTGATCATTAACTTCATCCACCTCCTCCTCCCTCAACCAATACACCCTCCTCTTCTATATCACTACTACCACAAGCGTTACTGTGGTATTATGTATTATTATTATTGTTTTTATCATAATTGTTTATGTAAAATTGTTCCTTTCCAAACTGAATTTAATATGGTCAGTAATTATATGATACATAAGTCTCGAGGGAGTCTCAACTATCCGCACATGGCCAGGAATGGATAGTATATGAATAGTAGATATAGCACTATATTTTATTAAATTTAAACGTTCGAACAACTTTATGTATGCAACGTGTTATTATGCTTAGTTACGTAAGTTGCCAAGTTTTAAGAATTATTTAATACATAACTAGAGTAGAAGAACAGAATGCAAGAAATAAATGCGGTTGTGCGTTACAAACTGGTTTGGAAACTGCTAAACCTTCGACAAGAATAAGTTACGTGCTAAACCAAATAAAACATTATTACCAGCTTTTGATCAAGTTGATGTTTCAAGATGCTAAAAATTCCTTGTCAAAAGATTGTACTTGTCGAACAAAGGTCGTTGGTTTTTGCATACCGTTTATGGGTAATACAAGATATATTACATAAATTTCAAACATTCACTTAAAAGAAATATCTAAAATATTTAAATATTTACATTCCATTTCAGGCTTTGTCCTACGCATAAGGCAATTTGTAGTTTTCCTGTATCTTTCATTAAGACAAAGGTTTCTCAAACGGCGCCTTGTGGATATAACAACTGATTATAGTAAGGGGGCGATTAAATTTGGAGTTATTCCATCCGAAGAAGAACGAAACTTGGAAAATCCTCGACAACTGAAGAATGTTTATGTAAGTCGATCTTACTAATGATTATTGTGTACTGTACTGTTTGTTTGTTTTGAATTTCGCGCATAGCTACACTCTACATACAGTTTTACTTAAATGTCATGCGATACCACAAAATAGCTCAACAATAATAACAAACAAAAACCTGAACTGAAGGAAGAAAAAGGAAAGACCGGTACTTGCATGATTTGTATCAATTAATTTTTCCAAGTAGTTTCAAGTTAAGTAAACCTTAAACTGTTGTGTCATTTATTAGGAATCTCATAACATTCTTATGCCCATACCTTAATTTTCTTAAGCAAAGAGATCTTTAGCAACTGTTGTAATTTAGTTCCTTCATGTGATGCAGATTTATTCAATGGCGTTTTATGTTTAAAAATATGTCATATTTAACAGGGAAGTCTAACGTCAAATCAGTATTCAAGAATATTTTAATGTCTTACTAAAATTTAAATCTAGGTGTGAAGAAATGAGACTAACATGGTTTAGGCAAGTTTTGTGAAAAAAAATTCTTATTTTATTTTTGGAAGTATAAAGCTTATCACGAACGAAAAATCACTGAACTAAAGAATTTGTATTTTGTACTTGCGGCAAAGCTACTAAGGATTCCTGTTGTCGTCCTTAATTTTGAACTAACTCACCAGAAGGAAAGCAGTCAATTATCAGCACTCTACCACTCACCATCCACACTAAAATATTAACTGTCACTCTTAAAACGCACCCACAACATAAACTACAGGGAAGTTCCGTTACCAGTAGAAAGATGATACATGTCAACTTATATGTTTAACCACTTCACATGCTGTTTTCAACTTTTATTTTTTATTTTTTGCTAACGAGGGTTAACAGTACTTTAAACAATAGTCAGTCTGATGGTTATTATTACATAATATTACCCGGTATCCCAACTTCTATTGTATCTGTGAAGCACAGCAAACTCAAACGTAGACTAAAAAACTTTCACATATTTCACGACCATGTTTAAGCAGGTCTAAGGTACGAAAGTCCATTAGACCTGGATCAGGACACTTGAAAGGTATGGGATTAATCTTTTCCATGTAAACATCCGTT